TGTTTTTCATAGTTAACCAAAGATTAATATTTTTGATTATACTCTAAAAGTATTGTAATAGAATATTCCAAGGTTCAGTTTGGAATAATAGGCAATTTTTTTTAGCGATCAATTTGTAGCAAAGTTGTTATCGGATATCCGACGTATAAATTCGATAAGTTTAAAAATAATTTCATACTCTAATGTAATATAGTATATAATAATCGAGACATAGAAAGAATAAGATGTGAATATACAGCTAGTTATGCCTTTGTTACTAATAAATAAACATGCAAACAAATTTTGGTATATTTTGATATAAAGTTTGGATATAATATCAGAATTTCTTCAAAAAAACATTCCTTTATGTATCTCGATAATATAAATTTTACTTAAGTTATGTATCTTCTATGTATCATTCACTAATAATGAAAATATTAAATCACATATATGAAATAGAAAAAATAACATTGTTTTACAATATCAAGAGAGAATAATATAATTACTAATTAAACGACCAAATAAAATTGAAATCTTTGACTAAACACAACAAATTATTTTTTAATTTATTATAATATTGTTAAACATATAAAAATTAATTAAAAAATAACATGTTTGTAATATATCTTTAAAGTTAATTTTAGATGAAACAGATATTTACATAAAAAAATTATGTCACTTTTTTATTTCGGTGATATACTGCATTTTTTAACCACAACTATTTATGTCTTCATCTATTAATTATTCTCTCTGTCGTAATTAGGGCTATCATTTGTACTATTTTAAAAATATATGTACTTTTGTTGAAGTTATGAGACAACACTCTTATTTTTCACACTCTTACTTATTCAAGCCGAATGTATTTTTTTTTAAAAGATAGATCAACTCGAGATTAAATCTAAAATTAAAAGTCTCTTTTATATTTATACACAAAGAATGTAAAAATCGATGATGTTTTTTTCGAACATGTTTTTTTCTAAGTTAAATATATTTTTGGAATGCATGGATGTGAACACGGAATTTTCGAGGAAAATATCATCAAACAAATAAATAAATTACTTTAAAAATGAATAAACACTTTGAACTTCGAAATCTTGAAGATATATTCTTTCTTTTTTGCCCAAAATCCCAAACTGTAACGATAATGTGAAAAGCTTTAGTCTCATAAATTGGATTGAGGGGAGAAATAAATTGATTGTTGACTCCGTTAAAAAATTGTTAACGATACAGTATAATTTTATATAGTTTAATTTTAAATAGTTTGATTGCTTATAGTTTTGCAATTATTGCAAGGAGGAAAAAATTGTTATTTAAAATAAATCAATCTAAATATTCATAAAATTTTATATATTTTTTATAAATTTTAGATATATTGGGTTGTCCGGAAAGTTCGTGACGATTTTGAAAGAAAATTGAAACGCAGAAGATTTAAATTTTAGTATACATTTATTAAATTATATAGGTGCCATTCTGTTCTATAACTTTCTCCACCTTTCTCCATCTTTCAGGCAACTTGAAAATTCCATCCTTCCAGAATCTCTCAGGTTTTTCAGCGAAAAACTTTTCTAAGTGATTTTTTACCTCGACCAAAGAGTTGAAGCTTTTTTTAAGGGAATTTTGTAATAATCGAAATAGGTGGAAATCAGAGGGCGCGAGGTCTGGTGAATATAGTGGATGGGTAGAACATCCCAACTGTGCTCCAACTTTTGTCGAGTTATCAAAAATCATGAGGCCGCGCATTGTCCTGATGAGACACGACGTCCATCCGATTCGTTGTTTGGTAAAAGTTCATAACACAGAATCCCTTTCCAATTCCATCAGACACAGAACATGACCTTCTTTGGATGAAGACCGGCTTTTGGGATGACTAAAGGTGATTCATTCCGCTTTCCCCAAGATCTTTTTCGCTTAACATTATTGTAAATGATCCATTTTTCATCCCCCGTCACTACTTGCTTCAAAAATAGTGTCTCCTCGTTGCGTTTATAGAGTGAATCGCAAATGACGATCCAGATCAGATTTTTCTCCATTAAATCGTGGGGAATCCATACATCAAAACGGTTTATGTAGCCAAGCTTCACAAAATGCTCGTGGATGGTGGATTTTGACACATTCAACATTTCTGCTAATTTACGTGTCGTATAGCGTGAGTTATTCTCGATTAGTGTTTTAATCTGATCTTCATCTGTGGTGGAGGACTTATCCGGGCGTTCTTGATCTTCAAGGTTGAAAGCTTTAAATCTAGCAAACCACTTCCGCACAGTTCTTTCAGCTATAGCATCTTCGCCATAAATCGCATATCTTGTTTGTCGCTTGTGTGACATTTTTGCCTTTCCGGTAAAAGAAAAGCATTAAATGCCTAAAATGCACTTTATTTTCTTCCATATTCAAAGGCGTATAAAACTGACAAAAATTAACGTATCGCAACCAAATTTTTTTCTAAGTATGCCTGAAGTACCGTCTTTTACGATATGTACGCATGTCATTTGTTTTCAATCGTTCTGATGTATTCAGACCT